ATAGATAGATAGATAGATAGATAGATAGATAGATAGATAGATAGATAAACTATGAGCTTTAGCTTCTAGTTTGTCCACCATTTACTGACGTTATCACATCAAAAAACAGCTCATTTCTATATTTAGAGAAGAATCAAAGCAGGAAAACAGAAAAAAGGACCTCAAAAACGTAGAAAAACAAACAAGCCGACACTAAAAAGTGCTAATAATAATAAATGAAAACCCTCATTCTTTCCTCCTCATAAAGCTGTGAGTCTGATTTCCTGCTTTAGCTGGGAGTCTGCTCTCTGCCTCCATCTACTCGCTGGAGGCAGAAAAAAGCCACAACCAGCCCAAAACTGACCTAAACCGGTCCAAAATAGAGCCAGACTAACCTAAACCAACCTAAAATGGACCAGAACCAACCAAAAACTGACCTAAAATGGTCTAATACTGACCCAAACTAAGCCAATCCAGCCCAAAACGGGAAAAAACTGACCAGAACTGACCCAAAACGAACCTAAAATGGTCCAAAACGGACCCAAACTAAGCCAATCCAGACCAAAACTGACCAGAATTGACCCAAAACGGACTCAAACTGGTCCAAAACTGAGCAGAAATTACCCAAAACTGACCTAAAATGGTCCAAAACAGACCCAAACTAAGGATCTTAGTAATGAATGCCCAATAACATAGTACATTTACACACTATAGGACCAGTTTGATAGAGGGGGTCCTTGGCCTGGAAAACCTTGAAGACCCCTGGACTAAACAACAGGAACAGACGCTCACATTGAGAAGAGCTGAGAGGAAACGGCTCAAAAACCTCCTTAAACCCTCGTTAAGGAACGGTGGAGGTTTGTTCCAGCTTTGTTATTAGAAAACATTCAGGGGAAGTAAAGAAAGTATCAAAAAATGTTTATGAAATATCTAAACCTGAAAGTATAAACAGGTATTTGATGTTCTAAGCAGAATATAGAAAACAATTAAAGTAGGACAAAAAAAAAAACTTGATTCATCCTTGAAAGTGATATCTAGCTTAAATGCTAAATTCAGCTAATTTATATTATAATAAATAATGATACTAACAATGATAATATTACTCATATTATTATTACTCTGGAACTCTTTGCCATCTGACATCCCAAATACCGACTCTCTCCCTCTCTTTTCAATACAAAACTCAAGTGATATTTAGCTTAAATGTTAAATTCATCTAATTTATATTAGAATAAATAAAATAATGATACTAACAATGATAATATTACTAATATAGATAATTAAACAGAAGCCCTATAGGAGGGAAGCCTGAGCTGAGAGGAAACGGCTCAAAAACCTCCTTAAACGCTCATTAAGGAACGGTGGAGGTTTATTCCTGCTTTGTTGTTAGAAAACATTCAGGGGAAACAAACAAAACCACAGTTAAAAAGTATCAAAAGATGTTTATGAAATAATAAAAATGGTCTAAATTGAAATGTATAAACAGATATTTGATGTTCTAAGCAGAATATAGAATACAATAAAGGGGGATAAAACTAATACTAATTAATTAATCTTTTAAAGTGATACCTAGCTTAAATGTTAAATACAGCTTATTTATATTAAAATAAACAATGATACTAATATTACTAATATAGGAAATTTAACAGAAACCCTACAGGAGGTAAGCCTCTAAACAACAGACGTTCACATTGAGAAGAGCTAAGAGGAAACGGCTAAAAAACCTCCTTAAACCCTCATTAAGGAACGGTGGAGGTTTGTTCTTGCTTTGTTAGAAAACATTCAGGGGAAACCAACAAACAAGGTTTAAAAAGTATCAAAAACCTTTCATGAAATAATATAGTCTAAACTTGAATGTATAAACATATATTTGATGTTCTAAGCAGAATATAGAACACAATAAAAGGACAAAACAAATACATGATTCATCCTGGAAAGCGATATCTACCGAAATGTTAAATACAGCTAATTTATATTAGAATAAATAATTATACTAATATTACTAACATAGAAAATTAAACAGAAACCCTACAGGGGACCAGGCTCTAATCAAAAAACGTTCACATTCAGTAGAGCTGAGCAGGAAAAGCTGAGAGGAAATGGCTCAAAAACCTCCTTAAACCCTCGTTAAGGAACGGTGGAGGTTTGTTTCTGCTTTGTTGTTAAAAAACATTCAAGGGAAACCAACAAAAACAAGTCATAAAGTATCAAAACACGTTTATGAAATAATAAAATTGTCTTAACCGAAACCAACAAAAACAAGTCAGCCGGCTCTTCAGCTGTTTTCCTCTTCCCAGTTTTCCCAAATAGGAACGACTGCTTCCTCCGGTGGATCCCAACAACAGATTAGATTACAGATGTACTGGTAACTTCATCTGTCAATATCAGCTACTTCCTGGTCGTCCCGCTTCAAACTAAAGGCAGAAACCAGCGTCTCCCATTTCGGGGGACAGTTTTTAAAAGCTTCCCAAAGAAGAGTCGCTCACAAAGATGCTCCTCCTCAAAGATTCAGCCAATCAGAGGCCAGGAAATGTC